TTACATAAAATACATGAGGTTTTTTAAATCTCTCACATGGTCGTCAGATGCACTGAGCAGGTTTCCACTGAGGTTGGGGTTCCAGGACAAACCATAGCCCTCTTTCTGATGTCCCCGCAGCCTCAGGTCTGGACTACAGTCTCCACTGGGGTCTGAACAATGGAAAGCTCAGACTTAATGTTTGCATCGGAGTTGCTGAACTGAGCTTCAACAGTGACATTCATATTAAACTGAACTGAAGCAATTTCAGTTTAACAATTTAAAATATTAAGGCTTTTACTTTTTTTTTTTTTTTTTTTTTAACTTTTCTTCATTTATTGTTAAGCTGCTTTTACACAATTTACATTGTTAAAAGTGCTATAGAAAAAAAAGATTGTAATGAATTATTCAAAGCAAGTTCCTTCATACACAATTTAATATAAGGATGTAAGAATAATAAAGGGCTGTTGATTAATTTGAAACACTCAAGTTTTATTAAAGCACACCCAAGACGTGCCTTAATTTCATATTACCAAGCTAATTCCTAAACATAATATTAGACCTTCTAGCAGTGGCTTAAGCCATTGATATGCAAGGTAATATCTCAGTTATTACAATTAAAAAGACTGGTTGATTAAGGAGCCCTTATTGAGGGTTTTTTGAGAATGACCTCCCATGTAGTGTGTAACACAGCTCTGAAATAAATAAATATCCAGCTAAGGCTTAAATCTGAAAGTGGACAGTGTTTAAAACAATTGGTTCATTTATAAAAAAGTCGACTCCTAGTACTTCAATTGAATCATCTTCATAATGAGTCTTTAGCCATTTCGCTGTGATGTGGATATGAAACTTAAGCCCCGCCCAGTTGTTGCACATGCAAACCCGAAAGATTTGAAACCTGCGGCCCCGCCTACTAACACAGAAAAAAAGGCTAGACACACACTGTAGCAGACGCTGGTTGAATCAATGCTGTGCTCAGCTGGATATTATTGAAAGTCTCTACCCAATGATGAAACTGTGAAAATTGAGTGGTTGAGGATTATTTTTGCAAAAATACCTCAGCATTACAGCCCAGCCTTGTGCAGTTCGAGTGCTTCTGGAAAATACATGCTTACAACAGACAATTCATCGGCCGTTTGCAAAAGGAAGGATCAGAAAAGACTATTGATGTAATCATGGATCAGTTTCTTCCTCCATTTCACAACTGTAAGTACGTAAAATTGTTGCCCCCTCGTTTACTCTAGCTTGCAAATTATGTTTTTAATTTTTTTGTTACTTGTAACCGCTTGTACTGTATCAGGTTAACTCTTTATTTTCTCATATCACGTGTAAAGCCTTGTAGAAAATGAGATGTGTGCAGCTTTGTTTATGGATTTAAATGTGCTTGTGAGCTCGCGTTCCACTGCCGATTGTCATTGCCATGGCCATAGTCAGCTGTTTTTACACAAAATAGTTCAGCTCAGGTTCAGGGTGTGGTGTCTGAATAACACTCAGGGCAGGAGCAAGCTGAACTGGCGCTTTAGGCGAATGCCGATCACGCTGCTCTAAACCCGAATGTGAAAAAGAAAGGGACCGTTTTGGAGGGAGGGCGAAAACGAAAGTGAGGACCCGGGGAGACGCCGCCCTCACTATTCTATGGACGCGTAGGCCCTGATAACACTAGTGAGAGCCGGGTACTATGTACTATGGTGTTAGTAACTAATGTGATGTTGTTTCTCTAATATGCATTCTATGTATTCCGTTTTTTAATATTTCTGTTAAGGACTTTTATTTTGGTGTTGTGTCATCATGTGTTTATGTGTTTGTGTGTGTGTGTGTGTGTGTGTGTGTGTGTGTGTGTGTGTGTGTGTGTGTGTGTGTGTGTGTGTGTGTGTGAAAAAATAGAGTGTGACAGGCTAGGAGACTCGTGTCGATCTCCTCCCCAGTTCTTGGAGTTTTTGCTCAATAAAATAGTTAGTTGTCGGTTTTTTGCATTTCTCCACTGGCAGCCAAAATCCACGCCTTACACTAATATGAAGCTTGTATGCACTTTGACTACTTCTGTTGATTAGCTGCTGGGCATTTCACTCTGTCTCGCACTGAAGGCTGTCAGTGTCGACCAATCGCAACAGGCTGTCATCGGTCCAATCAGCGCAGATTAGCTTCGCGCTAAGGAGGGGTTTGGGAACAAATGAATCACTAAACGATTCATATGGGAGTCGCTGGAACAATTAGGTCAAAATAAAAGCATATCATAAGACCATGAAAGTGTTTTTTTGACCTTGCATGCATATCACACTGTTGTTGGAGACTCTTACAACCAAAATATGACTCTATTTCATGTATAATAGGGGCTCTTTAAGTGGATTTGAGTAGTTTTGTTATTTAAATTTTAAGTGTTTCGGGAACTAGCTCTGTTGTGAAAAAGTCATGTAGTTTTTCAGCTGAAAAAATTATTCATCTGATAAAATGCTAACACCATGCAACGTGTATATTTCCATGTTTTTTTCAGTGTGTTTGTACTGTTTCTGTATTTGTATAATGAAAAAATGGTGGGGAAAAGAAAATGTATCTCTGAAGCACATAATGACTATGTATATTAAAATTATTATAACTTATGATCATTTTATTAGATCTTGGGTTCTTTTGCTGTTAAAGACTGCAGGAACCTTTGAAATATGCTAAATCATTTCGCAAAATGAGACAGAACTATAATGCAACCTGACTGGACCATCTTCATTGTGTGCTACCCTGAGAATAATTGTATACCTTAATTCAAAAAATTAAATTCTTTCATCATTTACTCAGCCTTTGCCCTTCAGTTTTATTTGTTCAGTTGAACACAAAAAATATATTTTGAAGAATGTTGTACTTATGGAAAACCATTAACATGAATGGTTTTCATGTTTCCAACATTCTTCAAAAATGTATTATTTTGTGCTCAACAGAAAAAAAAACTCTAACTGGTATGAAACAAGTAAAAATTGAGTAAATGACGACAGAATTTTCATTTTTGGTTGAACTAGTCCACAGGTGTCAAACTCAGTTCCAAAAGGGCCGCAGCTCTGCACAGTTTAGTTCCAACCTTAACTAAACACACCTGATCAAACTAATTGGGTCCTTCAGGCTTGTTTGAAACCTACAGGTAAGTGTGTTGGAGCAGGGTTGGAACTAAACTGTGCAGGGCTTCGGCCCTCCAGGGATTGAGTTTGACACCCCTGAACTAGTCTTTTAACAACAAAATAAGAGTATTGAGAGTGGACTCAAGTTGCCTTAAAACATGGTAAAACTAGCTCTTTACAACTCTTGCATGGTCGCCCACTGAAGCAAAGTAGGACTGCATCCGGTCAGTACCTGGATAGGAGACCACATGGGAAAGCTAGATTGCTGCTGGAAGTGGTGTTAGTGAGACCAGAAGGGGGTCTGCGGTCTGTGTGGGTCCTAACAACAGAGAATATTGATGGGGACTCTATACTGCTCAGTGAGTGCCATCTTTCAGATGAGAAGTTAAACCGAAGTCTTGACTCTCAATGGTCGTTAAAAATTCCAGGACGTCCTTTGAAAAAAAGGGTAGGGGTTAAACCCCAGCATCCTGGCCAAATTTTCCCACTGGTCTCCTAACCATCCCCAAATCATAATTGGCTTCATCACACGCAATATGGCTGCCATCGCTTCATCTAGGTGAATGCTGTACTAGGGCTGCACGATATTGGAAAAAATTGACATTGCGATATTTTTTTCCCCTGCGATATATATTGCGATATTTTATATATATATATATATATATATATATATATATATATATATATATTTACTTAAAACTAGGGCTGTGACGGTCACCATGACAACCGCGTCACCGCGGTGGTCATTGCCACCTCGGTTGTCCATTGCCACCGGCCGTAGTACGTGAAGTCACGCACTTTAAAAAACAAATTACTGTTATGTTGCCAAGTATTACATATCTGTTAGAATATAACAATAGGCGCGATTCAGCAAGTTCAAGTTCAACCATGAATCTTGTTAGAAAACGAACTCTTACATCTGGGAACATTTTGGATTCGTGCCGACCGAGAAAGGTGAACGAATCAATTTGGATTAAGCTTTTTGTATGGGGGTTTTAAGTAAAGTGTGTTTTAATATTCACTGCTGAGTGCTGAGAGTCCAAACACTGAGGAGCAAATCCATCGATACGCAGATCCACGGGTCCCGAACCATGCAAGCTAGTGGCGATTGACGGTGAGGGAAAAAAAGCCATGTAGGCTTAATCAACTCCTGTCTTCTAAACGCAGAAGCCAGCTCAGCCAGGCATGGCAGAGGCATTTGCAAAAATGGCCAGATACAAAAGAGAAAGTGATAAATGGAAGACATTGACGAGAAATTGAGCATAGGCTATTTGGTAACTACTTAAGAACGCGCCGCTCCGCGTTGCGAGAAATGCGGGCGGCGGAACAGAAGGAGAAGCCCTCTCTCGCATGGTTGTGAAAAAGTAGCCTGTCTGTGCATTTTCGCTACAAGCACACCGTCTGACAGTGTATTGCTGGAAACATTATAACTCCATTCTTCACTTAAAACGGACAAAGTCAACATGTTAGTTTTTCTGGCAAATAATTTAAAATATGACTACAAAGGTGGAGAGAAACTACGCTGTTTTTTTAAACATCTGACTTATATTGTTACTAGGTTAATATTTTCTTTTTACTTATAATTATTAATATTTATATTATTATTACACTGATTAGTAAAGTGCCATTTAGACTATTTGTTAAGTTCTTAAAAATGTAACGTTTAATTGTTGTTATTATTATACAGTTTCAAGCAGTTAAAGTAATGTAATATTTAACTACAATATTTATAAACAGTTTTGCGTTGTTTTATTAACGAAAGTTCAAAAATAAACATGTACGTTTATACGGATGTTTTATTTATTAATATTAAATTCGGTTATTCCTTAATTTTTACATAAAAGGTAAATTAACTTAAATAGGCTACATTATTTGTTGATGTACGAGATCGAGGAACATGTTTGCCAGTAAATAATGTTCGCACCACTTAAAAAACAAAACAAATGAATAACTTGCGAAAAGGATGCAATAAAAAATGCAAGCGCTTAATCATTCTTCACAATCGGATTCGTACGTGCAATAAGCCGAGGCTATATTGCGCCGACAAGAACAAGCCCTAAAACTAAGTCTAGAGAGAGAACTAATACTAGTTAATATTAATGATTATAAACACGAACTGCGTTGTATGATAAACGCATCACAATGATGTCGTGATCTTTGCTGAAGAACTGATATGTTATCGCCGTCTCCCCAGCCAGGTTTTCATCTGCTTTTTTCCCCTTCTTCTGGATACAAACAATAAAGTATCAGCGCCAGACCAGTGGTTTAAATTATATTTTACTCTCCTGATTTCTTTTCTTTTCATTAAAAAATAATTAAATGTTTAAAGTTTTGTATTGCATAGCCTATATATTTTTAAAGATTATCATTCAGCCTACCTGCAGCGCATGAGGTTGTGTGCTGGGCAAATCCCCTTTACTCATGCTACCCATTTCATTTATGACACTGTAAACTTGACTTGGCAGGCTGATCATCTTTAAACTCAAAAGGTGTTTTTAACTTGAGACTGCATGCTTCTGCATAATGTGATGTTTCTTATTACAACTGTTAGCGGTGTCAAAATGAAAGCAAACATTAAAAAGGGTTTTGTTTTATCAATTGTATAGTTTAGTTTTAATAATAGCTAATGTATATAATAAATTATAATATCGATTATTGTGTAGACTACAGTGTTCAACAAAACAATTTTATTAGATTACTCTAATAGACCAAATCCCTAACTGAAAAACTAATGTGAAAATGACAGGCAGTTGCGTCTTTGCTAAAATTAATTTAACGACAAATTTCTTTTGCTTTTTTCCCCTTTAGAGATCAAAAGAGATGTATTTAAAGAATTATTTCACTAAAACATGAATTGAATGCCCAGTTCTTTCCCGTGTGAGTTTAGTGCGCCTCCGCCGCGTCTGCGTTTTTAAGGTTAGGTGCACCCTGACCTGACGCGGGACCAGATCTCTGTATTGCTTTAATTTCACAATTTTCATAACTGCATTGCATTTTCATATGGTAAAATATCAAAATTTATGCTCTGAAAGTAGTAGGAATGACGGGAGTGTTAGTAATTAATAACAGAAAGAACTTTCACTTTTGAGTGAACTTCTGTCACGTGTTATTTTACTATGATAAAATAAACAAAAATAGTAATGCTGAAAAGTATTTTTCGCTCTGCCAAGCCTTCTCTGTTGCTGTATAGAGAAGCAGCCTGCTCAGTCTCCTTACCCCGGCCCCACCCCGCCCACCGACTCCTGAACGTCTCACTCACTAACTCACTCACTCACGCGGGCATGCACTGCGGTCTCATGAGGAAACGCAGCTTTTTGATATAATGTTTTTCTTGTTCCCAAATACAAATAATTTATCAAGTATTGTTTGACATAAGTATTCGTAAAAACACTCTATTCCTGCTTTTCCGAATACCGTATTCCGGTTCGGCTCCACCCATAATATATATATAATTTATTTATTTTTTTTTTTTTTTGCATCGCACCCTCCTGCGATGTGACAATCGCGGATGCGCACATCGCGATTTCGATGCTGAAACGATATATCGTGCAGCCCTATGCTGTACACTGGTGGTGGATTAAGAGATTCCCCCAATGTAAAAAGCAATTTGAGTGTACAGAAAAGCGCTGTATAAATATAAGGAATTATTATTATTGTTAAAACCTCATATTAACCACAGAGCAAACCCATAATCTTGCCCTTTAGGTGCTCAAGCAGATGTTTGTCATGGAGCAAAAAATAATAAAAATTATGAACATTAAATGTGCGTTTATACTATATTCAACACTATTACGTTTGCATAAGAACAGTAACTGTTGAGGGACTAATAAAATTGTTAAATATTTTTTTTAGATTTAGTGAACATTTGGTCTGTGGTTTTGTTTTATTTTTTTAAGTTTTAAAATGTTAATGTAATGTTTTTTCAACCTTTTTGCACTGGGCAGAATTTTTATTTTATAAATCTAATACAGACTAGAAAACGAGGCTTTATTATACACATACATGTACATACTGTAAATATTAGAGGTCTTTAGATCATCTGAAAGGCACTGACCTGGTTTGGATGGGTGTTTGGTGTAGTCAAACACCAGCACATCAGAAGTAGGGGTCTTGGTGGCGATGATGCAGGGGTTTTGTGGCATGTATCTGGCTCTGTTCACTTCTCCTTCATGGTTGATCTTAATCTCAATCTCAATCTTTCCACTAACTGATCCAAACCCTCCAAACTCTGAAATAGTTAGTAAACAAAAATACATGCACATCAGTCACATTTTCAAGATGAGTAAATGACAACAGAATTGTAATTTTTCATTTGACTATTCCTAGAACACCAGTATATGGTTATATACATTTAATACAGATATAAACAAAACATAGCTGTCGAAAACACATGCAGCTGTAACATCTTTGTGGAATGATTCACTCTTATTGATCAAATGAATCTGGATTTCCTCTCAACATCCTGACCATACCTGCTGAAGAAACACAAAGACAAAATTGATGTTATTCTAATGACTTCAACACAATAAAACTAAATTAGCATCCATTCATGCTCAGATCAGCTCTTACCTCCTTTCTCACTGTCATAGTGGGAAGCGTCGAACTGAGCGTCATCATTGGGGATCTGAACACTGGCGATGACCAGATGGTTTTGCTCGTCTGAAGTGTGTGTGCCCAACACCAGCCGGTGAACCACATAGTCCTTCCCCTCAGGCCTGTATAAAAACGGACAGTCATACTTAGTGTCTTGATCAACTGCTCTGTTTTAAAACATACACAAGTTAGCCAGTGGATTACCTGTTGACATCAGGAAGCCACTGCACTGTTAAACTTGGCCACTCGAGCGCATGTGTCATGACTAGGTCATACAGGAATGGTGTGTTTTTCTTCCAGATCTTGTACTCCTCATTTATTACCCTCTCCTCCACGGCGTCATCGTACACTGTGATGGAGGCAAAAAAATAATAATTTGTTAATTAAAAATCAATACAATTTATATGTATACAGCACTTTTCCTAACAAATGAATGCAATTGAAAGTGATTAACACTGTGGAAGCCAAAATTCAAATTACTTCTCCATGACTTTGACTGACAAAAAAATTTAATTTCCTTGACCTATACTGAACAAAATCAGGCAGCTGTTGAGTTGAAAAGTACCTCCAGAATTTTGCAATCTGTTTTTAACGCCAAGCCAAGGATGTGGTGCTAAATTTAGAGGAGTTTGTAATTATTTTAATTGCTGCAGATTTCCTGCAAAATTTGGCCGGATAGGAGGACATTTTCACTTTTTTACATTAAATAGCATTATATTTGCATTCAGTTTGTGATACCTCGAGCTGTCATAGACACATAACGAACTGCACTTTTCCATAGGTGTGATTTACAAACATCATGTGACATTTAGGCCTTTCACAATAATCAATACATCAACTTATAACACTTAACACATGAACATGACCTCAGACATTTTTTGGTGATGCAATATATATCGCCTATACATAAAAATAGGGCTGGGTGAATAATCAAAAAAGTAATTGAAATCTACATTAAAAACCTATAACCAAGCTCAATTTTCCAGCTCAATTTTTTCAGTTATTTTCTCTACCATGTGTGGAGTCACATGACCCTGATTATACTTCTGCATCAAACCCACATGTATGGTCCTGCGCAGCCTTCGCATGGTTGCATACCCGCACACCTCTCAAAAAATAGCTACATGTTGCACATTTACACTACATTGACAATGATTGAAAGCTGCGCCAGAGATTAAAATAAATAAATAAATTTTTAATAAATTGTAATCAAGTTAAAATGTTCAACTTAGAGATTTTAATTTTAGTACAAATTGCTCAGTCCTACATAAAAAGCAATTCTAGCAACATTTTAGCTGATTGTGCAACATCTCTATCTCTATTAAAGCTGTCAGTGTCAGAATGGTTAAAAAACACCAGTGTTTTACTCTAGCATAGAGCTGCATGATTCTGGCTAAAATGAGAATGGTGAATTATTTTGCCTAAAATAAAAATCATAATTTTCTCACGATTGTGTAGATATAAAATAAAGGTTAATATGAGTGGGCTATTATTATTAATGTTATTCTCAAACATGAGGTAAAAAAGCAATAGGCTTTGTGTAGCTGTACTGTTGGTTAAAATGCTAAATGTTGTAGACTTGGAATGGTGGACTTGAACAGACTTTAGATTTGTCCTGGTCATTAAAGCTGATGATAATTCTGATGTTGAATTATTGTGTTTGAGACATATGCTTACAATCTGTCATTTTCTGCCTTAAATCTGTCACTGATGTGATTTTCTTGAATACAGAAGACTGGGTGAGTATTTTTGCATTTCGCCGGGTTTTAGATAGTGTTTGGGCTGGAATCAGTCAGCTACATCTGAGAGCGGTTCACTTTCTGCACAGCTCCCAAACTCTGTGCCACAAACTGAACATTATTAACAACTTTATTATCTGTTATTCACAGCCTACGCAGGTTCTGTTCACTAAAGTAAACTTCATTGAGAGGTTCGCGTGCCCGCCCTCTTCGTGGTAACAGCTGATGGTCAACTCACGTCACGTGTGATTTTGCGGTCACAAATACATTACATGAAGACAAAAATGACATTTTTAGGTGAGTTACATCTTATGAATACAGCATGTTACTCTTTCAACACCATTCAGAGGTGTCCACGTTGCTGAACAACATATGTAAAACAATGTGAAGACTAGTTCGGCCACCATTGCTTCTCTCCTGAACTTGAAAATATGACTGACAGAATCGTAGAAATGCTGGATTAAGATCATCTAGGGCAGGGGTCACCAAACTTGTTCCTGGAGGGCCGGTGTCCTGCAGATCTTAGCTCCAACCCTAATCAAACACACCTGAACAGCTAATCAAGGTCTTACTATGCATACTTGAAATATCCAGGCAGGTATGTTGAAGCAAGTTGGAGCTAAACCCTGCAGGGACACCGGCCCTCCAGGACCGAGATTGGTGACCCCTGATCTAGTGGGTCAAATCGAGATTTCGATCTTTTTAAAATTAATTGTGCAGCTCTACTCTAGCATATTTTAATGTCTGTGTCTGACAACTGAAAATAGATCTGGTAGCAGATATCACAGCCTCTGTTACTTTTTTGCTAACATTTATTATTATTTATTTGTTTAGGATACACATTTTGACATTCTGATTCCAATGTCTAATTATTAAATTGTTAAAAAAAAAAAGTTTAATTTATACATTGTAAAACACATTACAAAAATATACAAAAAGGATAACAAACATGTAACAATAAGCAAATACACTGACTAGTATTTTGAGCAAAAAAGAATAATAATAATAATAACAAAAAATTAATTAAAACAAACTTAAAAAAACACTAATATAATCTTACATACAGAAAATACAGGTCTACAATGTGCTGACCAGAACTAGTATTGAGTATCAAGCTGGGAGTAGGCAGGTGGGTGCTCAATCAGAAGGAGCAAGGTCAAGATGAAGAGTTGGACATGTTTGCGAAGGGGTTCCCACAATTTAATGAAAATAGTGTCTAATTTACAAAATTAACATCTAATTGTCTCTAATTTAATAAAGTAAAGAACAATTCTTATCAAACAAGTGTGAGAAGAAGGGCATGGGCTCTTCCTGTTCAGAAGATTAACCACCCAGCCAGAAGGGTTAAGAAGGCTCCAAAAGTCTACAAAATGTAAGGGTAAAGTGTGGTCGGGTGGAAGAACCTTAAATAAACCAATTATTGGACAAGGTGGAATATCAACAGTGGTAATAGCAAACAACGAGAGGAACATTTGCCTCCAAAAAGAAAGCAGGGAAGGACAGGACCAAAACATATGGATTAAAGTAGCTGAACCAGAATGACACTTGTCGCACTCAGGGTCAATAGACAGGTCGATGCGAGCTAGCCTGCTCATGGACCAATGAGCTCTATGCACTACCTTGGATTGTATGAGCATTTGATGTGCACAGATTGAAGGGAAGAATCCCCCTGTTCAAGACCGATTTCCATGTCTCCTTGTTCATGTCAATTCCAATGTCTTGAGACCAGATGGTCCGTAAGTTATCCGAAGAAAATTGCAGATTAACAATTATATTAAAATATTTAGAAACTGAACCTTTGACACAGATATTTATGCCCACCAGTAAAGTGTCCAGGGGCCTGTTTCAGTAAGGAGGTTCAAACAACTCAGAGTTTAAACTTGAACTCTGAGTTGATTTACCGAGAGATTAAAAACTCAGAGTTTTCGGTTTCAGAACAGCTGATCTGAGTTGGGTCAATCAACTTCGAGTAGACCAACTCAGAGTTAAGCGCGCACACCGTGACTTTAAAAAGGCATTATTAATGAAGCGCAGACATTACGAGTGACTATGGCAATATCTTATAAATAAGATCACCATTTCTTTCTCCAGCTGAACTTGATGTTCTCATGCAAAGTTATAGCAAATATGAGTGTGTATATATTTGAAAAGAAACAACCATCAGTGAAGAAGAGACAGTTAGCGTGGAAAAACAGCTGCTCAAGTTAATGCCTAATTTCACTTTTTAAGTATTTAAATATTTAAGTATAATAAAATAAGTAATGTAATTTGTGACGTTTATATATTTTTTTCTAAACTTTTTTATACATTTATTAGTTTTAAATGATTTAACAGTGCACTTGTGTGTCTGCCTTTTTTATTGATCAAGTGATAGGGGTTAATATAACATTTAGAAGGTAAGCAGCACTAAAAATATTTTTTAGAATAATGTCATTACTTCCTGATTAAACTGGCACCAAATATCAACAGTAAAAACAGAATTTACTGTGGTAGAAGAAGCTGCGTCAATTAATTCTTTATTTAGCCTAATTAATGTACTTGCGCCTCGATGTCAGAAGACAATGCTGAAACACAATGAACACGTGGGGGCGTCTGAAGCCATGAGACACGGAAACGCTTGACACGCACCAGACGTTCGGAGGTAATTAATAATATACACTAATACTGAAACAGTAAAGGCATTTTAGAATGACTAAAACAATATTTAAGACATGTTACAGTGTGCTCAGCTTGCTGGTTTGTCCATTTACACACATTTTCATTATCATATGATCATGATCTTTTTTTTAATGTACATACTGTAATTTGTTTAGTAAAAGTGTTTCCATCGTGGTTTATGCGGACATTTTCTATCTAATAAAAGTTTATCCTACTCAGTTATGCGCGTTTTTTATGCATATTTTAAAAAGTTATGTGCATCATGACGTTTCTATCAATCGTTTTTATGCACGTATCCAAAATGAGCATTAAAATAGGTGGGTGGAAATGCAAGGCTATGGCGAGAAATACTGCTTCATCTTTAAAAAGGGGAGGAGACAGACAGAAACTCTGAGTTTAGAGAATAAAACCTGCTTCTGACCAGGTTAGATTCACAGAGTAAGTTACCACAGTAACTGACTCTGAATTAAAGTTACCTTTCTTTCAGAAACAGGCTTGACTTACCCTGCTTTCTCGAGTTTAACAAACCTGCCATTTTGAAACGGAAAACCCAGAGTTTCTCTCATTTCAGGGTTAAAATACTCTGAGTTTTCAGTTAACCTCCTTTCTGAAACAGGCCCCAGATCTGAAGCAGGAGGTGCATTTGGAAAGTTGACAAATATTTAAATGAAATATTCTTAAGAATACAATATAACGTGTTCTTTGGAAGACTGTACTTGCATTATGATACTATTATATTGTTATTCTGGCATCATATAATGAGTGGCATGAATTGGTCTTAAAATGCTAATAATATTGTTTATTGCCATATATTTTGGGGCAATATATTGTACAACAAAATACAGATATCAACATGCATTCAGCCAAGGCAAAATGACACAAATACTGCCGCCAATTTTTGTGTTTTGTTTTGTTGTCCATAAAATGTAGGAGACTGGTTGAGCACTGAGCAGACAAAAAAAAACAAAAAAAAAAAACAGTTTTTTCAACAGTTTGGTCACTACATTTGCCAGTTAGGAAATGGGAAAGGAATAAAATGGCAGTGAAAAATAGCAATCAACATTAACAATAACATTAGGTAAAACACTTGAAACCATGAGATAAAACATATGGTACAGAACGTTTTGATAAATGGGAGTCAAAATGTAAAAAAAAAAAAAAAATTATTATATTTATATATAATTTATTATATATAAAAATGACTGGCAATTAAGGCTGCACAACATATCATTTCCGCATTGATCTCGCAATGTGATAATTCGCAATAGTCACATCACGTGTATACACAATGCTGGATCTCGATTAAAATTGACCATTTTGCAAGTGTTTTTGAGGCCTGTGACTGTGTGAGGAATACATTAAGGAATGTAAAATTGTACCATTTGTAACTGACAAATTAATAACTATTCATTTTATTTTTAATTAATTAATTTTATTGACTTTCTTTATCAAATGAAGACTATGAGTTATTATTTTACATTTGATTATTCAATTACTATAAACAATGATACACTGTTTATTTAATTGTTTTTTTTTTCTTTTTGAAAAGCCTGTAGATTGTTTGTTATATTTCATGCATATGCATTCCCCTTCAGAATCATCCCAATCAATCTAAAGTTATCAATTCTTTCCAAGTAGTTATTCAACAAATCTAGTGAATCTGTATTCCTATCGCAAAATATATTACTGAACAAAAAAATATTGCAGTGTTAGATTTTTCCAATATCGTGCAGCCCTGCTTTCACTGTCTGGAGTAGATCTTTTAAAAATTTTTTCTATTTCATATCTGTGGGAACCCCATTATAAAAAAAAGAACAATACAGAATATCAAACTAACAAACAAACATTAAAGTTATACCCAATAATAATAGAGAAAATAAAATAAAACAAAATAAAACAAAGGTTTATAGGAATGTATAGAAAGACTATAGTTAATCTTTAAAACTACTATAAGTACATCTGGTGCCCTTACATTCCTGATGAACTTTAAAGCATCTTTAAAGTTCTACTATAGTATCTTCTAGAAGAAAATAATCTGAAGATCTGGGAGTTCTTGTTCACATATTGCATCTTTGAAGGATAGACTTGAGCGAACCCATGAAATGCATTATGAACTTATAAAGGACTTATCAAATCCACACTGAAGTTGACCAATGTAAAGACTTCATTACAAGCATAACGTGTTTTCTCTCTATTTATTTGTTTATTTATTTATTTTAGGCCAAATGTATGCAAATGATCACATTTCACAAAGACTTAACTGTGAAAGAGCGTTGTGTAGTAGAAAGTTGATGTGCTCCCACATAAATTAGCAGAACTAAAGAGTAAAGATGGGATTTCCTGAATTAACGTTAGTAGATACACAGCAGCAGCATATGAATGATGGAGGGAAATCAGCGAACAACGGAGTTTCAGTCTGCTTTGAGAAGCTATAACTTGTTTTTAAGCCAGTATGTAAATAATAGTAATTTAATCACGCTAGTTGCCATACAATTCACGAAAAGCAAGTTTTTGATAAAGAAATTGTGACACTCATTCATTCTTATGACAGTATGTGGGTCGCATCCATTAACGTTAGCACATTAGGCTAACGCTAGCAAACTCTGGCAAAAGAATAAATACTGCACGTAATTCACTACGGAAAAAGTTTACCTTCTTTATCGGCCATTTTGGCGTACTTTTCTGTAGGGTAGCCACTGAATGGACCAGGGATATAGAGCCAAAAAGCAGAAAAACAGGCTTTTACACTCAACACACGTCACTTGCAAAACCAGTTCGCGCATCTCACAAGCGCAAAACCAACGTGAGGTAGTGATGTCCGATTCACAAGCGAGTCGTTCATTTGAACCGACTCTTTTTTTGTTGTTAAATATCAATGCTACTACTATAATAATAATAATAATAATAATAACGACAAAATAATATTAACAAAATTGTTATTGTTGTTGTTGTTGTTGTTGTTGTTATTGTCGGTATTAAAACATTTTTGTTGTTGTTAATATAAATGTATTATTGTTTATTATAATTATAATAAACTAATAATAATTAAATTACTAATAGTAGTAGTCGCAGTGGTATAATAAGTGGTACATCATAATACATATAATAATTTTTTTATCATTGTTGTTTTATTACTAATAGTAGTACAGTGGTATTAAATGTAGTATCCAGGGGGGACAACAACGGTGAAACAATAAACAACACCAACGATTTCATAGTTTAGTTGAGCATGTTCATTTATACGATCTGTCCAAATGAACCGACTCGGTAAAGTGAACTGACTTCCCACTTCTAAACTGAGCATGCGCGATCACAAGCGGCAAGTGATGTCATCTTTGCGCGCGCGTTGAATGATTGGTGAAAATGTGTTGCGCTTGATAGCTTGTGCTGTTGTTGTTTATCAGCGATATGAGTTAAATAATGGTTTGAAATGACGGAGAAGGGTTGTTGCTCGATTCAGACAGAGACACAGGACTCTGAGAACCGGTTGAATATGTGTGAAACTCCTTCTGTTGTACTCAGGTGTTGTATCAGACGTTTGACATTGTTGCTGTATTAAATCAGTCAGTATGGGTGTGTTTTAATTATTTACAATGTATTTATTTACCAACTTCTTAGTCATAAAAAACGACGAGCTGCTCTTAAACGAGAAAGAAGAAAAAGAAAACGCCAAGCGCTTGCTAAAATAAAAGAAGCAGGTAACTGATTTACACGGTTATTGACACGATTTAATTAGCTATTTTCTAGATTTTTTATTTTACTGTTTATTATATTATAGTAGTAGTTATTATTTCTGCACTACGTGTTAAAGTATTTTAAGTCTACAGGTTAAATATTCTAAGCCTCTTAAAATAAATAATATAATAAATAAATAAATGCAATCTCTCAAGACTGCATTTATTTAGTCTTTTAACGTTTATTAAAACAGTAATACTGTAAAATAACAATTTAAAATATTTTTTTGTGAATAATATAATCATAAGATTCAAAACCAATATTGCAACATCATTTCCCTACTTTTCAGATAACAATTTGCAAAATGAGGAACTTCAGTCTGAAGCTGAAGATGAGGACAAACTGAAGGTTGATGAGGAGAGGTAAGGCCTTACAATTTCAATTTAATTAGTTAATATCAGTTGGAAAAGATGGAAATATTTTGAAAATAATACTTTATTAACAATGCAGTGAGCGGTTACACCAAGAATGGATGGAAAGAGAAAGGATTGCGCAGGAAGAATTCAGGTTAAAGAAGGAACGAGAGGATGCAGCACAACAGAGAAAGGAGGAAGAAGAGGTGAGCCTGTGATTGTAATGTGTAGTATATGGTTTTAATTAGGGATTCTTCGTTTACATTTAATGACTCAGTCGGTACTCGCCAATCTGGCCGATCTCATGAACCGATTGCAAGTGTTTGTTTATGAGTTTACAAGCAGAGGAAGAGGTGACAAGAATGTGTGAACAGGAGAACAGGGGTTCGTTCTTTGTATGTGGATTACTCAATTAGCTGGATTTGGTTATTGACGATTTGACACGATCCAGGATTGTTTTGTTCTTTAAAATTAATCCGAGAGTTGATATCATTGCAACAGTTCTGGTAGCTCAAACCTGCTCGGGAGCAGGTTTATTTAATATAAACAGCATAAAATTGACTCATTTTAAGCAAAGGTGATACTGAAAGTATGTACCGAATGCTGATATTTTCTTACAGTAGTAACTTATAGGTTATATACACTTGGTAAAATAGTAAAATTAGTTTTAAAATATGTGTATATACATTTGTAATTTATAATAATTAGTATTATTTGCACGTGTAATTAATTACAGTGATTCACTTCAGCTTTACTTCATCAGCACAGCTGCATGTCAGAATAATTATAAAAGAAGATGCTTCAATCTCTGTTTGTGGACATTAAATCAGGTTTATTTTGTAAAATAACATAACAGATATCAACACAGCAGTGGAGATTAACCTGTATCCTGTCACATTTGTGTGCAAAAACAATGCAAAGCTAAGCGCGCTCTGTCTGTCTGCCTGTCTGCCTGTCTGTGTGTGTGTGTGTGCGTGCGTGCGTGCGTGCGTGCGTGCGTGCGTGCGTGCGTGCGTGCACGCGCGCGTGTGAACTTTGTTACGATATTGCATGTGACTCATCAGTGCAACTGCACAACAAATACTCATTGGTAAAGTTCTTACTGTAGTATTTCCAACAAACGCTACGTGAGATCTTCCTTTAAGTCTGTCTGTTGTCTAACGCAGCCGAGGGAGGAGATTAAAGCACGCGGGAAGGCACATAGAAACAGTAGGCGGGGAGGACTCGCCTTAAAGGCGCAGTACGACAAAATCACCCCCTGGTGGAAAAATGTATAAAACAGGATCTTGTAAAAGGTATAATGAAAAATCTGATGGGTGTTTTGAGCTGAAACTTCTAGGTGCCTTTTAAATTAATTGATAAGTCTAATTCTACAATATAATTTTGTAACACTTCCTATAGATATATTAATTGAAATGAGAAATTTATGATAATATATTTTTATAATATATTTTATATGCAGAGCACTTCATAAATATATCATTTCAATTAACCCTTTCAGGCTCAAATTAAATTTTAGAAACAGGCAAAATCTATGCTTTTAACTGTTGCAAATCAGCAACGCCTGCCTTGAGAGGGTTAATATTTCTATAGGAAGTGTTACAATATTATATTTGTGCATATACATTAGACTAATTCGTACTTAAGCCAGATCTGTAGCTAATCTAACAAAATAACTAACAATAATAATGGTCCAAAAATTAATAGCTCAGATTTATATGTAAATGTGTAGTTTGTAATTTTTTTTCATGAATTTAAATGTATTATCTTTCTATTTCTAAAGATATTTGGTGACTAAAATATTTTTGTTTAAATGCACCAACATGTATTACCTATATTCAGTAAGGAATGGATAAAAAATGGATATTATCAGAATGAGGTGTATGCTGAGCGCTGTACATTATAATCGACTAATGCTTTTTTTCTGTAAACCCAGCGGAAAATCAAAGAGGAATGGGAGGAACAGCAAAGAAAGGACAAAGAGGAGCGGGAGCACAAGGAGCAGGAGAAGAGAGAAAGAGAGGTGATCTCTGCACTGGGAGGATAAAGATGCTGATGTCTACATATCCTCTATCAGAAATCAAACATAAAGACTTGTTGATCATGATTTTACATGCACCCACACATGCCATATATCTGTTTTATATGTACATTGTGTGAATTTATGCAAAATATTGTCTTCGTTTCCTTAACTAAGATTCACAAAAATGCTATATATGAAGCAAGTGTCGACTCCCAATGAAGAACGTATCTTTTCATGTCATTTGTAGTAATGAGATTGCTTACTGATTCCACAGCAGAGAACATATTCGCTGTAAAATATTATAAAATGCTGTACAAATGATCTGCCAGATTGTCTTAACCAGTTCTAACAGACATGTACTTGCACACCACAGAATTTCACCCGCCATACTGTGTATGTTTGCACCATTTATAGGAAGCAGTACAGAAAATGCTGGATCAAGCAGAGAGTCAGGTAACTTCTTGATTCTTGTTATGATAAAAAAATGCAAGTTTTGTATTTGCTCTTCTCATGAAAAGCCATCTTTTGTTGCATTTAGCTGGAAAATGGGGGACCCTGGAAAAACCCAGATGCTCCAAAGGATTACGGAACTGAAAAGGACAAGGCAAACTGTCCATTCTTCCTAAAAACTGGTGCTTGTAGATTTGGAGACCGGTAATTATTTATTACACGACTATATCACAAAGTGTTGACAGTCGAAATGAAATTTCCTGGTCAGGATTATGAGGGATAGTTCACCCAAAAATGAAAGTGGTTCTTTATTCTGTTGAACACAAAAAATAATATTTTGAAGAAAGCTGAATTCTTATAACCATTGACTTCCATAGTATTACGTTTTCATACTATGGAAGTCAAAAGGTTTTCAGCTTTCTTCAAAATCTTTTTTTTGTGTGTTTGTTCAACAGAAAAAAGAAACAAACCAGTGTGGAACAAGTAAACAAGAGAATTTTCAGTTTTGGATAAATCCTGCAATAAATGTATTGTTCATTCATGTTAGTAAATACATTATGTAACGTTAACTAATGGAAACCTTTTGAAAAGTGTTGCTCAATAGCCTCCCTCACAAGTTCTAATCTAATGACAAACTTTCTAATGTAATATAGCAGTGTTTCTCAACTGTTGGGTCGGGTCGCGGGATCATTTTCAGTGGGTCGCGGAGTGTGTGGAAAAAAAACCCAACAAAATAAAGTTTTTAACTTATTTTGACTTTTATTTTGAAATGCGTGCATGATAACCCTATCGTTTGACGTGAAATTTCATTTAAATATAGCAACAAATATGTCAAAAATACATATATTGAGGACAAAAAAAGACCTCAGTGTGTCATAAGTAGCGAGGTGCTCTCACAAGAGAGCATGAAACCTTTTAAATTAAGATGACATTTAGAAACCAGACATTTTTTATTAACAGTTTAGTTTAGTTCATGGTAACTGAACCTTTCCTTACCCTAACCACTGTATTTGTCGTTTTTACTTTGTAATATTTCTATAATTTGATCCATTTTGTTAAATGAAAGCAAAATATTGTTTATTTGTAAGCCTTTGTGATTTTCTTATGATTTATCTGTCACTACTTGTGTATGTTAACAAATAAATAAAAATTAATTATAATTCCTAAAATTGTAATATAGTTTCAAAAAATTTGGTTCGTGGCTTGATGACCATGTAAAAAT